TTTTTATTAATAATGGAAGTCATGGCTAATTTGAATAAATGCAAAAATGAAAAAAATTTTCAAATGAAAAGTGAATGTTTGTTCAGATGCACACTAATCTATCATAATGAATGCAAATCAACATTTACTGTGAATTACTTCTAAAATTAAAAAAGAAATGAAATGAAATATTTATTTAAATTTGAAACAACAAAATATTGAATTAACAAGATGAAGTGAAAAAAAAAAGAATTTTAGTAGTAAGATCAGTGAACAATTAAAATTATTGCAACTTCAATTTCACCATATTTGTATAAATTATTCAGGTTAGAATGTTGAAACAGTACACTGCTCATTTGATAAACTGCTCTGACCACAATTTCGTAGATCTTTAATATAAATGATTTACGGAAAGTAAGAAATAAGAAGCGAAAGACAAACTGAAAGGAATATACATGCAACACGTTATGCACATATACATATTTTAATTTTTAAAGAAAATTACCTGATTGTCACTAAAATTGTATATGTATGGACCAAAATCGAAGAACATGAAAAAACCAAAAATATAGTAATACTAACAATTATAAGAGCCTAACAAAGCAATTGATAATATATGTCAAACTGCTTCAGCAACCATATTACAGAATTTTCCCACAAATATCAGTAGTCTACTTAATACTTCCATTAGAAGACATAAAAGAATAACAACACTAATATTTCAGTAACAACACTAGTATGATAATGATTTTGAACATTATTTTCTATTTTGGATCTACATTATGCAGCAAAAATAATACAAAATACAAATTAAATACTAAAGATATAAATTTATAACTAGTTATTAAGTGTCAAAGAAAATCTGTCTACAGGAAAGTTTGCCGACTCTTCATTAATGCTCCATGGCATTCTCATTTTCATGTCTGTGATAGATTTCCATAAATGATGCAGCAAAACCCTCAAGATGGAATATAGCTTTGCTACCACGTGTTAAGCGATGTTCATAATCAGCTGCTGCAGCAACCACTTCCACCTTGATTTTATCATTGCAGGATTTTAACAGTTCGTGCAGTAATTTCTGAAAATATTTTATTTTAAAGATCAGAATGCTAAGCAATAAAATCAACCGATATTTACAGCAAATGAATAATAAGTCAAATAGAAGATTCACTTATAAAAAAACAAAAGTAATCCATATAATTCGAACATGTGAGAATAACAAAAACATACCATAAAAATGACATTTGGAGGTATGCAATGTCCAATACATTCGTAAAATCTATTACGCACTTTGAGAAGACTGCAAAATGTAATTAAAAAAGTGACAAAAGGAAAGAGTCATTGCTTAAGATCATGATAATCTTTTAAAGTAACTGAAGACAAACTTTTCAGGGTTTTGTTGCTGTATCATCATTTTAGCCGTTTCTCGCAAATAAATTTCCCATTCTGGATCAGGAATTTCTTGGTTCTCTTTGAATGGATAACTGAAAATAAGAAGTCTAATTATCCACCAACAATGATTGTTTCTTTCCAAAAAGATCGTACAAAGCTGAAATAATACATGACCTGGAACACAGTATTAATACAGAGATAAACTAACTGCAGTCACTTCAAAATTTTGAGATTTTGAGCTGGAAACGTAACAATTTTTCCAAAAATTTTCAAGGTATAAATACAATTATACGATTAATAATTAAATATTACTTCTGTACTTTTGCCGCTTCGATCATCAGTAAAGCTCGCCTCATATTACCATTGGCTTTTTGTAAAACTGCAGCGATGATGCTTTCAGGAACAGAAACATTTTCCTGCTTGCAAACATGTCTAACAGCTTTGGCCACCTAGAAGTGAAAATTTGAACTCTGAATGAAATTTTAAAGTCAGTAAACTACTGAATATGCAATATTTTTAAAGTTTTAATATAAGAGATAATCAATGCATAAGAAATAAGGTCCGAGCTTTACGAGTCTTGAACATACAAATTGAAGTTATGAATTTTGAATAGCGTAAGTTTAGTCTATGCAAACATTTGAAACATAAAAATCTTTGAATATAAACATGGTTTATCATCTCAGAAACAGTTATCTTTTTGTATAAAACTTACATCATCATCTGAAGGTGCAGCTACACGAACCGCTAAACACCGACTTCTCAAAGGATCAATAATTTTACTGATTGAATCACAACACAATATAAGTCGACATGTTTGCGCATATTTCTCCATTGTACGACGCAATGCGTTTTGTGCATCTCGAGTTAATTGATCTGCTTCCACTAAGACTACTACTAAAAAACGAACTTTGAATCTATATAAAATCTTTTTTTACGATAAAACAAAAATAAACTTAAAGTTTTACAACATAAATAAACTTAAAGTACGAAATTTAGAAGATAAATTAGATTCACTCGAAAATATTTAGTGTGTTGAAATTGCAAAAACGAATTATATAGGCATGAGCACATAAGCACAGTATAATCCCCAGATGTTAGCTTACTCTATCTCTTTTTTATGTGTAAGTGAAACATATTACCACGACACATCATTTCTTATAATTGATGGTAAGTACCGCTGTTGAAAAAAAGTAACTGAACCCTGTTACAGCACAAAATCTTGCAATAATATTTAAGATTTCATTGGACCTTTGAAATTTCGCTGCGTTGCAGTAACAATTTGATGCGTCTGTGCCATTTGTTTGACAATTTCCTGGACAACGATACGGTCGTAGATACCAACTTCTCTAGAAGCCAAAAATTTTTAAGTCAATGTTTAAATAAAAGTGCGCAATTAACTATGAATTCTCTTTTAAGTGCTTCGAAAATTTTTTTATTAGTCGAAAAAAATATAGCAAAAACTGCATTATATTTCAAATACAAGGAGTTCCAAAGTAACTCACCCAGGACTAAGCTGAACATGATAGTTGCTGCTAAAAGTCTGTATTTCTAATTTCTTGCCAGATGGAGCCTGAAAACTTCGTGCATCCATTCGTAATTTCTCCACACCACTGCCATAAAGTTCCCGCAAAATACAAAAAATTCTAGTCATTTTTCCCGCACCACTTGGGCCATATATAAGAAGATGTGGAAAATCACCGGCCTGAAATTATGCTTCCTTAAAATTAAAATTTCTAACACTCTTTTCAAAGATGTTTCCCTTCTACTATGTGTGCCAATAATATGTCCATTTTTGCGGGAAAACGGAAATCAATCATACAGCTGATAATTCCCATTTCAACTATCAATCACATCACAGATCGACTATTGACTATGGACATAATAATATGTCCATTTTTGGCTGCGGGAAAACGAAAATCAATCATACAGCTGATAATTCCCATTCAACTATCAATCACAGATTGACTATGGATTTCCCAAACTTGTAGCTATGGATAGCTGTACAGAACCTGTTACCAGACCAATTTATTTTTTAAAATAATGAATTGAACGCTAACTTTATCATCGATTAATGCACTAACCTAAAGTCATAAATTATGGTAAAAACAATGAGTCAACAATCAAAAAATGATAAATCCAAGCATTGGTCATCTTCCAATTACAGATGAACTCCAAAGACAAGACATGAATTATCCTTAACCTTCTCACCATTCTTTTTATAAGTGCATTGAAATGCTATTTATATTCGATATGCAACAAGTTAGTCTGTGTATATAACAATGTTTATGCACAAGAGTAATCACTCGGGAAGGATTGAGATAAGAGACTGAATTACTGCAGATAAACACAGATAAATCTTAAATATATAGTGAAACATAACAACCTTCGCTAACGAATTAGCAAACTACAATTAACTGATCTTTACAATGGGTGAAAGTAAAAATCACTAGTCTCCACTCATATTTATATACCGCTTTTTTCTAATGCTTCCATTGCCAATTCCAGTCTTTTTCCTATCTCTCATTTTGCTGAACGATAAAAGGCAAAATAATTGAGAAAATTCTTACCTTGACGATTTCAATGAGATCGTTGGCTTGTTTGACATGATATGTTAGAGCGGACAGCTCTCGCGGTCTATATTTATCTATCCACAACGCCATTATTTCTTAAAAAAAGAAAAAATTCACTTACTATCTCTTAGTCATCACCTTCCTTAGAAATAATATCCAAATATTTTAATACTAACTGACAAGAATATTCCAGCAACGAATTCAAATTTAATTCACTAAAAAAAATTTAATTCAAAGGTAGCAAAATCAACAAGTAAAACTTAATTCAAAGATAGTGAAATTAACGAAAAAAAAAGCAGGGAAAAATGTACTAATAAAAGAGGAAAAAAAAAAGGGATGGAAAGAGTACGTGAGAGTGTAGAATAAAGAAAGATATATGACTATAGGAGCAATGAAAGGATTATTTAATGATAATCGTTTTGTAATGTGAATTATACTAAATATATTCTAGAAAAGGTAGAATTCAAATAAGGAAAAAAACAATTGTAAAAAAGGGAGAAAATACGAGAAACTGATTATGAATTAACATGATGAGTTAAGCTAATAATATGCAGACTTACGTAATCTTCACGTCAAAAAAGAATCAACGTGTCACGCACGTAAGGTAAATGAATGATTTTTTAAATCTCCCACCTTCACATCATCCAATTTACTTTTCTATTCTGCCCCAGTTTACTATGCTATTTCATTATTCTCTAATCTCCTGTCTACACTCCTTTAAGAAATATATCTGCTAGTAATTTTCAGCGTATCAATTCAGAGCCGGCTGGTAAAGTACACTTTGCGAATGCTTGTAGTGGCTGGTTAGGTGCGGTAGGACTTAGTTGACTTCACGTACGTCACGTCACGTCTATGAAATGTTTCATGATGTGCTGTTTGGTGTGTTGTTACTAATTAGGATTCTAACGTAACAATCTCTAGTGATTTTTTTTTTGGGTTAAGGATAAGATAAATGTCTATATTCTTTTTTTCAACTTGCGATTTTGGAAGTAACTAATAGTGTCATTAATCAAATTCATGTGATTGCTTATTTCTCTTATTGGTGTATGATTCCAGGAGATGGCAACGGGTATATTATTCGATGATATGTTCCTTGTGAAAGATGTTGACCCGGAAGGGAAGAAATTTGATCGTGTTTCACGTCTATTCTGCGACAGTGAATCATTTAAAATGGAACTCATCCTTGATGTAAACACACAACTGTAAGGTCATCTTCCTTGATTTTAATTGTAACTTTCTTGAAATTTCTAAAAATTTAGAAAAAATTCTTAAAATTCAGAATGTTGAAGAATAAAGTAAAAGTAAAATAACAGAGGATGATGAAATGAAATCATGACAAACTGAGCAGTTTTTGCAGATACCCAATGAATCTAAACGATAAATTCCGATTATTGCTGGCAACAACGCTGCGTGACGATGGTCTACCAGATGAACGAGAATTCGATAATCAGGTATGACATTTCACTTCTGTTTAATAACCGAGAACATATTTTAGTTTAATTTTAGAATTTAATTCGTTGAATTGGGCAAATAGCTGACATCATAATCTTTTTGTCGAAATAGTACTGAGGGTTTATTGTTTACTGTCCAAATTTCAGACTCATTATCCACGATTAGATCCATTCGAATATGTAATGTTTGGGAAAGTATATAGAATTGAAGGAGAAGAATCGAGTTCTGAAACAAATACTCTAGCAGCATACGCGTCATTTGGTGGCCTGCTGATGCGGTTAAAAGGTGATGCGAATAATTTGCATGGTTTCGAACTTGATTCTGGCATTTATTTATTGATGAAGAAAGTTGTCTTTTAGTTTGTAATAGTTTTTTCCTTTTATAAGCTGATTTTAGATTTTTGGTGGGAGCTTCTGAAGTTAGTAAATTTGGTTTTTATCAGAGTATGTCCTTTACACTGTTGGGAAATATCAGAGGTGAACACTAAAAAAGAATGGAATGGAGCAGGATCAAGTATTATAAGATTCAGGGGTAGACTCCTTTCAAAATCTGTTTTTTAAATACAGTTTGTGCTTTATTGAAATATTTTGTTAATTGTTATTGATATGCTTCTTATATTTGTTTTGTACATATTAATCTGCAATTCTCACTGTGTCGTTTTTGTTGTGCGAACATTTTTTTTTTTTTTTGTTTTGATAGTGTTCCTTGCAAAAATTTTGTGATTCTCAAAACATATCTTTTAATGAGCAAGCATATGGTGTTACAATTTATTTTAATCCTTTGTGATTCATATTGAGTGAAGAGCATAATCGAAGTGAATCTCCTTTACTGTTGGTTCTTCGCAGTATCTATAGGACGGTGGAAACTAGATGGAAGCGTTTCGGAATCCAAAATCCTCAAAATTATCTTGAATGTGTTTTGGAACATTTGAATTCACCAAGCGGTATTAAATGATTTTACAGAATACATAAAGTGCTATAATGAAACCGGAATCTCTGGATGGTATTTCTTGTGACAGCGAGTTACGACAACTCAAGCAGCATCTTGAAGAATCAGTAAATTTCTATTCTCATTTCAAGGTGGCGGCAAAGTAAATAATTAGGATGTTATTTATTGGTTCTAGTCCACAATGGCTCATTAATGTAAAAAGATTTTCTAATACTGGTCACTTTGTTGCGGTTTTTAGAAGAAGGTATTATTTATTTGATGGAATTTAAAAAACCTTTAAATTACGGGGTTACTGATTATTGAGGGAACGGATTCTAGTCTGGGTAATATCTTCCATTTTTAAGTAATATTTCATTAATGTTGATTAAAACATTTAATAAAAAAAAAATTGTAAGATATTGTTGGTCGAATCAACTTATCATTGAAAAGGAAGACAGACGTGATTTGCGCTTTATCACTTATACCACTGAGGAATAAAAGAAAGAAAAAGCTGATAGCACTGGGGTGCATAAAATTTTCATCCTTCATATTGTTTCATTAAAACAATTATTTAATACCTACTTTAGGAGATCTTTTTCTTTCTTAGGAGAAGAAACTAGTTACATATCAAAGTTTGCTAGATGCCATGGAAAAAGGAGACATGAATGATGCTGTGTTGGAACACTGTCCTAACTTGTCAAAAGCTATAATGGAAAATGCAAAACTCAAATATAGGATGAAGATTCTTCAGGCGGTGAGTAATAATACTGTTTTAGACTCTATTCCTCTTCTTCCGGTTCTGCAATGACAGATTGTCCTGCGCTGTTGTGAAGAGGGAAGATTTACTAGTCATTTCTTCATTTTGCGAGGAGTTTTTTGTTTTGAGTTATGCTGGACTTGTTGATGAGAAAGACTAGGTTTCGTTTGGAATTATTCTTTGCATACACTGATTCGAACTAAAAGAACTGAATTCGGAGGAACACTGTAGGTCTCGTATGTACTGATATTTTGTAATGCATTTCAATAAAGTGAATTAGCTAAAGATTTAAAAAAAAAAAAAATAATATAAAGGTATAGGGTATTTCACATTAAACTTTAGCTACAAATAGTTTACTTATGCTATTTTTAGAGTATACGTAAGCAAGAACAATTGAATGAGGAAAATGGAATTAAAAACAGCAGTGCTGAAGTACCTGTGGAGAAGAAATCGAAAACGAAGATTTCCTCAAAAAACGATGATCGTAAATCTGCAGGAGATAAGTAATTCTTGAATTGGCTTTTTCTTTTTTTTTTTTTTTTTTCAAATATTTGTGGAGATTCCGTTAAAATTAAGTTGATGAGCATTTGCTACACAATGAATTTGTTCTGTCTTCATTTCATATACATGCATATGCTTCTCTTATCACTATTTTGTTGATCATAATTGTCCACAAAACTTTCATGTAGAAGACCCTCGAAGGAAAGCAAAAAATACAATTATGTCATTGTGAAGGATTTCGGAAGTTCACTGCTGTGCATGTTGCGTGCCATATTTTTAGAAAGCGTTTCTAAGGTAAGTTTTCCGTTAATTTTTGCTGCTTTGAGCCATGAGAATAAGAATAAAAATATTATTCTGTTGTATAGGAATTTTCTCATATTACTAATTTTATCACAAGCTGTGTATGTAATAAAATTTCAGCTCTATCCGGAAATGTCTGATATTCCTATTTTAATAACAGAAACTCAGCAAATTAAATTTGGTGACTATCAGTTCAATTCGTCCATGTCCATTGCTCAGGTTTTATTAAATACTTCTTTGCAGTTCTTTTTTTTTTTCGGAAATTTTTAGTTAAAATGATTAGTTTTGAAAACAACTGTAGCAGTTTGTTTTAGAAGCTACTACGAAAGGGCCAGAAGATTTCCCCTCAAGAAGTCGCACGAAAAATCTTGGACAACCTGCCGGAATATGATCGGATTGAGAAGGCAATTAAATTGATAGTTATGAATTCATTTAAGATTTGTTAATTGCGATTCATTCATTATTCATGTTATTTTTAGATGGAAGTTTCTGGACCTGGTTATATTAATATATTTTTAAATAGAAGTTGGATTGCCACTAGTATTACAAATATCGCTCTAAAGGTACATATTTTTGTTATCGTTGCTTAGAAAATATTTGTTCAATAAATATGGAACTCAAGCATGGTTCATCCAAAAATTTTCAGGGTATTGAAGTCCCAGTAATTGAAAAACGCCGTGTTCTGGTTGATTTTTCGTCTCCAAATATCGCTAAGCAAATGCACGTGGGTCATTTGAGGTCCACAATCATAGGCGACAGTATTTCTCGTTTGCTCACCTACGTTGGTTTCGATGTTAGTGAACATCTTTATCCTTCATTTTGATTCTCAAATTTTATACTTAAAAAAAAAAATTGTTTATTTTGTTGATTTATTTAATCGACGTGGAAATCTAATAATCACAATATTGAGTGATCGAAATTTTGATCTGCTAGTGAAAAGCATTTTTCGTATAAAACTTAAATACTTTAAAGGTTCTTCGTTTGAATCACATTGGTGATTGGGGTACACAATTTGGCATGCTGATTGCTCATTTGCAAGATTGTTTTCCAAATTTCATTAATGAGGTACCACCAATTTCGGATCTGCAGGCTTTCTACAAGGTTAAAACTTTATATCTCGAAATTGCATGCATTCTCAATTTAAATATTGTGCATTTGTCATTGATTTCAACTTTTAAATGTATTTTAGGAATCAAAGAAGCGTTTTGATGAAGATGAAGCATTTAAAGCCCGCGCTTATCAATGCGTTACCAAGTTACAAAGTTTCGATCCAGATTTCTTGAAAGCATGGCAAATGATTTGCGATGTTTCTCGGAAAGATTTCAGTCAAATTTACGACCGATTAGATATAAATATTGTTGAACGGGGCGAATCGTTCTATCAGAAACATATGGTTGAACTCGTCGAAGAACTTGACAAGCTTGGTAATCCTTTCAGGTTTCAAGCAAGCATTATTATAATATTCTGTAATTGGATGTTAAGCTAGCATATATACCGATATTTCCTAGGCATAAGGCTCTGATCTCCAATTTAATCACCAAATAATTGTAGGTGTTTTGGAACTTGATGAGGGGAGGAAAATTTTAAAACTTGGTGAAGGAGTTCCACTTACTGTCGTCAAATCAGATGGTGGTTTTACATACGACACATCTGATCTAGCAGCTCTGAAATACCGCTTGTTTGTTGATAAAGCGGATTGGATCATTTACGTTGTTGATGCTGGGCAAAGTCTACATTTTGAAGTTTGTATCATTTCAATTTTAAACAGTTTCAGTTTTTGCTAATTGTTTAGATTGTTGTATTTGCTTTAGTATATTTAATGTGATTGATTAATCGGTTGTTAATTGTTAATTATTCGAGTGAAGCAGCCAGTATGATTTGATCTACTTTAGCTATTGTACGCTGCCGGTCAGAAACTTGGATGGTATTCACCGTCTGAAAAACGGGTCGAACTTGTCAGTTTTGGTTTAGTTCTTGGAGAAGACAAGTAAGTATGAAGTTTTTGAATTCCAAAGAATTTTTCAAAAAAGAGAGCTGTTGTGGGCAAATGTTATTCATGTGGACTATCTTCATTCTTTTGCTGAAATAAGCTTGAAATTATTTTAAATTAAAATTTTTCTTATATATCATACTTCAGACTCATATAGTATTATTGACTTTAATAAAGAACAAATGTCTTAAAAACTTGGATCTATCTACTGCGATTCCAGAAAAAAGTTTAAAACGCGGTCGGGTGATTCAATTCGATTAACAGATTTGCTTGATGAGGGTGTGAAGCGAGCAGAAGCAAAATTACAAGAGAAAGAACGAGATAAGGTTCTTCATTTCGAGAATTTTTATTTTTCGATACTTAATTCGCTCATTTCCAGGACATTTAAGTCTTCATCTCTTGAAAAAAGACATTAAAATCGTTGATCATATTTCTTGAAGGTTATGATTCCGGAAGAGTTGGCATTAGCTCGTGATGCTGTTGCGTATGGTTGTGTGAAATATGCTGATTTATCGCAGACTCGTACGCAAGATTATGTCTTCTCGTTTGATCGGGTACGATCTATTCTTGGAAATTTAAAATTGTAAAGTTTTTGTGCTTTACATTGTTTAAATGATTCTTAGAAATAAGTTTAAAAAAATAATATTTTAGATGTTGGATGATCGAGGTAATACTGCTGTTTATCTTCTCTACGCTTTTGCTAGAATACAGTAAGTTTTTTTTTTATGTTTCATTTTCACTTAATTTGAATTTCATTTTTTAAAGGAAACATTGTTTTGCATATGCTTTGAACTTTTCAGTTTTGGTCAAAATATTGTTTGGATAGAACTTTTTGAAAGTAGTTTAGACCAAGTTGGAGTCAATGAGATTTGGTTTCGTTTCTT